GGGGGGGGGGTATTATGAGCTCGCGCTCGATGACCCACCGACACCATCTCCAAAATGACGTTAGAGCAAGAGAGGTCAAAAGGTGGCCTTTCTTCGCCTGAAGATTCTGTTTGTCGTAAATGACTAGGGCGGTATGTTTGCGATCATGTTGCAGGTATGGAACGGGGACAAAGTTCAAGTGTATTTACATATTTATTTATATTATAATTCATTTTTTGGGGGGGGGGGGCTGTTATAAACATTGTTGACATAATTAAGTGGCGGGAGGGGGTCACTGAACTAATTGGGGGTAAAAAATGCTTAAAAATTGTTGATGTAATTAATGGACGCCACCTTAGACTGATCCATCGTGGGAGTGGCTCGTAATTACCGTACCGGCTGGGCTCGGTGACCAGCGGTCAGCCCGGCTAAATCAGTACACCCGCAAAGCCACACAAGAGGCGTTGAAGGATTTGTTGGGTCGCTCGAATACATAGACTTATAGTCCATACATACAGTAATTTTAATTGTAATACAGGGGTGCATTGTTAGCTCTACATATTCATCACACTTTTAATAAAACCCAGGACAACTGTTTCATCACCACTGCTACTCACATCCGGCAGCTAACATGTATAAATGACTCAACCGAGCGCGCTCTGTATCATTTTCACTGTCTTTATCAACTTTTTAATGAATATATAGTATTTGAAAAAAAAAAACGCCATGAGTGAAGCCGCGAAAGTCGAAGCGCGAAGTGGTGAGGAACAACTGTATATATATTTCTCTATGTAACAATGTCCACCTAAGGGAGAGAGTTATAAGCGAATTTAGTCCACCATTCGCCTTTGAAGCCATCATAAAAGACGTCACGCGTTCTTGGAAGTTTTTTTTGTTTTTTTTTTTGTTTGTTTGGGGGGGGGTACAATTTGGGATGAAATGTGATTAAAGTGTAGTAAACTTATCTAATTTGTGTCACAAATTTGTGGGGAAGGGGAGGGGGCCGGTGGGGTGGGGGATCTGCCGAAATAGATTGTCATCATTCCTGCATCGAATTTGTTTATTTTGTCTGGCTACGCGAGTGATTCCTAGAATTTTGAATTTTAAAATATTATTATTTTGTTTGCTTTACTCGACTATTATCAGGAGAACTTCGTCATCAGATGAGAATTTCATTCAATAAATTAACGCTACAAAATGGACTTATGATCATGCAATGCCATGGACTTGCGGTTCCCAACCTTTTCGATTCGTGGAGTCCTTTCTAGAATCAATTTCTATGGGAGAGAAATATGGCCCCTTAGACCTATGCTATTTCCTACAAGCCATGTTCAGGCTTTGCCCAGGGCGCAGCTTTTCTTCGGCACGGTCCTGTTTGTTTGTCTGTATTTCTGATTCTGATAGACTACGTTGCTGCAACTGCAACCAAGTACTGGCATATGACTATGTGCAACGGTTTGGGAAACGATGTGGCTATCCTAACGGCTCCTAGCGGGGGCCAGGGCAGCCTTGAAACTCTCGTTTGATGTCGAGTCCACGGCCGCATTGTCCAGTTGGTTCCAAGCAGGGTTTCTTTCAGCTATATCTCGGGGGGGGGGGGGGCCCTCCCCCCCCCCCGGGAAAGCCAAGTCCCCCCCAAGGGGACAAAGTTCAAGTGTATTTACATATTTATTTATATTATAATTCATTTTTTGGGGGGGGGGGGCTGTTATAAACATTGTTGACATAATTAAGTGGCGGGAGGGGGTCACTGAACTAATTGGGGGTAAAAAATGCTTAAAAATTGTTGATGTAATTAATGGACGCCACCTTAGACTGATCCATCGTGGGAGTGGCTCGTAATTACCGTACCGGCTGGGCTCGGTGACCAGCGGTCAGCCCGGCTAAATCAGTACACCCGCAAAGCCACACAAGAGGCGTTGAAGGATTTGTTGGGTCGCTCGAATACATAGACTTATAGTCCATACATACAGTAATTTTAATTGTAATACAGGGGTGCATTGTTAGCTCTACATATTCATCACACTTTTAATAAAACCCAGGACAACTGTTTCATCACCACTGCTACTCACATCCGGCAGCTAACATGTATAAATGACTCAACCGAGCGCGCTCTGTATCATTTTCACTGTCTTTATCAACTTTTTAATGAATATATAGTATTTGAAAAAAAAAAACGCCATGAGTGAAGCCGCGAAAGTCGAAGCGCGAAGTGGTGAGGAACAACTGTATATATATTTCTCTATGTAACAATGTCCACCTAAGGGAGAGAGTTATAAGCGAATTTAGTCCACCATTCGCCTTTGAAGCCATCATAAAAGACGTCACGCGTTCTTGGAAGTTTTTTTTGTTTTTTTTTTTGTTTGTTTGGGGGGGGGGTACAATTTGGGATGAAATGTGATTAAAGTGTAGTAAACTTATCTAATTTGTGTCACAAATTTGTGGGGAAGGGGAGGGGGCCGGTGGGGTGGGGGATCTGCCGAAATAGATTGTCATCATTCCTGCATCGAATTTGTTTATTTTGTCTGGCTACGCGAGTGATTCCTAGAATTTTGAATTTTAAAATATTATTATTTTGTTTGCTTTACTCGACTATTATCAGGAGAACTTCGTCATCAGATGAGAATTTCATTCAATAAATTAACGCTACAAAATGGACTTATGATCATGCAATGCCATGGACTTGCGGTTCCCAACCTTTTCGATTCGTGGAGTCCTTTCTAGAATCAATTTCTATGGGAGAGAAATATGGCCCCTTAGACCTATGCTATTTCCTACAAGCCATGTTCAGGCTTTGCCCAGGGCGCAGCTTTTCTTCGGCACGGTCCTGTTTGTTTGTCTGTATTTCTGATTCTGATAGACTACGTTGCTGCAACTGCAACCAAGTACTGGCATATGACTATGTGCAACGGTTTGGGAAACGATGTGGCTATCCTAACGGCTCCTAGCGGGGGCCAGGGCAGCCTTGAAACTCTCGTTTGATGTCGAGTCCACGGCCGCATTGTCCAGTTGGTTCCAAGCAGGGTTTCTTTCAGCTATATCTCGGGGGGGGGGGGGCACTGCCCCCTCCCCGGGAAAGCCAAGTACCCCCCAAAGCAAAAATGTGTCCAACAATAAATCACAGTGAAGCATTTACCATTGTTCCAGATGTAACTGCTAATGGAGTTGTCAGAGGTGAAGTACTCCATCTCCTAGAAACAATAAATCAAAACCCGTTTTAAATTTTAAGCAATATGTATCGAATCCCATGAATAATCGCCTTCAGTTTGAAATTTAATGATACAAAATTTTTACTTTAATAATGTAAAAACTGTTGAAACTTTAAAAACTTAAAAATAATTTATGATTAAAATGGCTAAAAAAAAAAAAAATTACATTATTAAGTCACGTACGTTTACTTTCATTACCGGTATTATTAATATCGGTTGTGCGAAGGTGAATTCGAAGTGTATGAACTGCGCCGTTACTACGCATTCAAACGCATTTAAAACGTTTCCCACATTTAATGCCTTGATCCACCTACGTCTCACTCAGCAAATGTAGGGTACATAATAATAATAATTAGGCCTATAATTTATAATATTATTATAGTCTATAGTCTAATATAGTCTAGTATATATATGTTAACGTATAGAAAAAAAACAACAAATGAACGCGCATGCGTGCTATAGTTAGAATATTTCTTCCTTATTAAAAATTAATATTACAATATTTTAAATTGCAGATTTTTAGTAAAATTCGTTAAATTTAGATATTTTTAATGAAGAATTATGGTATGAAAATAACTAAATTGGTTTCATTATTTAAAGAGTAATAATCAGTTTAAAACGAATGCAACAAGCTGCCCCCTTTCTGGGGCGATTCCATTTGGTCATCCAGTAAAATTTCAAGAACACTACCACGTGGTTGATCCACGACCTATAAGTAACGAAGTGCTCTTCCATTCGTTCTCTTTTCCACCACAACAGTTAGCGAGTGTAGAAGAAACGAATATGTCTGTAAACGGTGTTGTAACGAACGGGCCCAAAGCCAATCATTATAAGGAATTAAATGATCATTATGCAGAAGAATGCAGTCAGGATGATATCGGGACATTTCTGTTTACATCCGAGTCGGTGGGAGAGGGTCATCCTGGTAAATTTAAATTATTTTTGTACCGCCTATACTAAATATGGAATAATTTATGCGGCGAAAGAAAATGGGGGGGGGCCATACTAAAATACTAATACTACCGTAATAATAATAGTAATAGTAATAGTCCTCGGTCTAAGTGCCCGCACTATCAATTGAAATGGAGGCCTAATTTGAAGTGGGTCTATCACTATGCTAACATACATAATCATAATGAAAGCCTGCTTAATGTCAATAGATTATTTTGGAACAAACTTACAGCACGCTAGCCTTTGTCTCATTTTTATATGGCATGATAAACCATAAATATTTAAATTAGAGAACCTTCACTACACATTTTTCTTCGCGGGAAGTTCGGATTAGTTGGCCTACTTTATCGACCTAGTCACAAATGTGTAGCCTACTGTAACAGACCTGTTTACTCTTACGATTTTGGCGTACAATGTACGATTTTAAGATGTATACATTATATATACTGTATGTTTATTTTTTCTATTTAGATAATGTACTGAACGATTTTGCGATGATATTGTACGATTTTAAGAGTTTACGGGTAAACAGGTCTGCCTGTAAGTAAAAGTAGTAGGCGTAGGTGAACAACCCTGTGATGTTAAACTTAAAAAGTAAAGTGGTTTTTTAAAACTCCTTTATTATTTGGCTAATATTAGTGTAATTTTATACTATTCAGTATTCACTAATCAAACTAATGAAGGCAAACCAAAGGCAAGGTCTGTCATCTATTTCAGTCTCTATGTTTAGTTTTAAGTTTAAACAATTATCACTTAGCCCAGGCAATGCCCTAGGGCAGTATTGAAAGTAGTCTAACTAAATGACTAGATTAGATATGCCACATGGGAATTTAAATTGTGCACAGAGGACAATTATTAGGCCTAAATAAACTGTCCACTTCCTGACACTGTCATTAGTCTTGACATTGACACTATTCCACAAAATTAATATTTCAATATTAAAATATTATTTCAGATAAAATTTGTGACCAGATTAGTGATGCTATACTTGATGCACATCTGAGGCAGGATCCCAATGCTAAGGTTGCATGTGAAACTGTAACAAAAACGGGCATGGTTTTAGTTGCTGGGGAGATTTCTTCAAAAGCTAATGTAGACTATCAAAAAATTATCAGAGAAACTGTCAAACAAATCGGATATGATGATTCTTCAAAAGGTATGTCATTTTCTCTTTATAATTTATATTTATAAGGTCCTATTAATAATTAATTTAGATCTTTTTCAATAGTCTTTTATTTTGAGATTGAAGCTGGATAAAATTAAAATTGAAATGCAACAATTATAATGCTATTTTAATGAAAAATAATCACAAATGTTAACCTTAAAAGTATTTTAAAAATTCCAATTTATAATTATGCCGCCTCCTTCCATTACCATCCCCTGAATCCACTACTGAGTCTACTGCATATATAGTCTATATAATATATTAAAGGTTGTTTTTGTATAACAATCTTTTAAAAAATCATTGATTTTCCTCATACTCAAACCCAATAAAGTTTTTATTTTTAACTTCACTTTATATCACCCAGTAACAGGTTACCTGAAGATCATGTAGGCCAACTAAAATGTTCAATATGCTGTGTGCAAATTATGTAGGCCCTAATCATAAGCTGGATTACATGATCTGTTGGTATTTTATATTTAAAATCAGATCCTGTTCTTATTTTACTGTAGGCCATTTTATTGGAGAAACAAAAAAGTCAGTTTGATTTGATTGATAGCCTAGTTATATTTCTGAGGTTCATTCTAATTCTGCCATATTATAAGTTAATAGGAGGTGCTGAAAGAAGCATTTTCCATGAACTGTACATAATTCATATTTCATAATTCCAGTTAGGCCTTCAAGGTTTACATTTTACAGAGATGAAATATTTCAATGCTGATACTGATACTAGTGATACAGTATCTGTATCCTTCCTTATCCATCCTGACAGACATTATTACCATACCTTCCATCTTTGTTTGTTACTGGATATTAGTCTGATACTAATTTTTCATTTCAACATTTCTTTATACAAAAAAAAAAAGGGGGGGGGGAACGTTCAAAATTAAGATTGGAACTGAAATTTGTTCAACTGAGTTTTTTTTAACCCTATAATAACTGTCAAGTGCTCTGTCACACTCTGTGGCATCAAACCATTTATAGGATTTCTATCTGCTTGTCTAAAATAACAAAATTCCTTTAAAAAATGGCTTTTTAAATGTTAAGGCTCAGGGAATGAGCAATGAATTGGTAAACGTAATATATATAAATATTATAATGTTGCACACACAAGTTTTAGTGAAGCATCCTTTAGTCCTTGGTTGGCCATCATGACCCCCTTATGTGTGTTTTGGTTGATATCTCAATTGGGTATTAATCTAATTATTTAAAAGCTTATTTGTCTGGTTACGAATATTATTATTATGCCCAACCTCATAGGTATGATGGTGAGATATACATAAGGGATTTTTAAAAAACATACATTTTGAATTTTAAAAATCACAATTGAATTTATTACTGGATTTATGTTGGATGTTCCTATTGATATTGAATATTGATATAATTTCATTTGGAAAATATGCTTTGCAAAACAGTTAAAATCAGTTATAAAAAAAATGAGTCTTAACATTGAAGATTTGCTGCCCTCCAGGTGCAGTTTAGTTTTTTTTTCTCCACTTAATGGCATCCATATTGGTCAGCCATGTCACCATTATTTGTTGCAATTTTTTTTTTCAAGATGTTAACATTAAATTTTAATTTTAGGCTTTGACTACAAAACTTGTAACGTTTTAATTGCCTTGGAGGAACAGAGTCCTGATATTGCTCAGGGTGTTCATGTTGGGAAAGATGATTCAAATATCGGTGCAGGTGATCAAGGACTTATGTTTGGATATGCTACTGATGAAACTGAAGAATGCATGCCCCTGACAGTTGTACTTTCACATCAGCTCAATGCAAAAATAGCTGAACTGAGACGCAATGGAGGCTTACCTTGGGCTAGACCAGACACCAAGACTCAAGTAAATGTTTTTGGTTTTTTTGGGATGGGGGGGGGGGATTGTGTCCCTGCTTTTTCTACATTTATGTCCATGAATTTTAACTTTTCAGCCTACAAATTATTAATGAAAGAGAAATGCAAGTTGGCATTTGATAGTAAATAAATTTATTTAAAACTTCTGGTTCATCTCTGACACATAAAATGAAATTGTTTTAAGGAAACACATATACCCAATTATCTGAATTACCATACATATAGAGCAGTTAAACAATTAAAGACAATTGGATTTTACATTAAAATGTGGTAATACATCTTATCCAGGTGACTGTTGAATACAGATATGTTAAGGGTGCAGCAGTACCACAGAGAGTGCACACTGTTGTAATTTCTGTTCAGCATGATGAAAATGTTTCTCTGGAACAGTTAAGAAAAGAGCTTCGTGAAAAAGTTATTGATGTGGTTATTCCATCGCACTACCTTGATGATAGAACAGTATATCACTTGCAACCATCTGGCAAATTTATAATTGGAGGTCCTCAGGTTGGTTTATTTGTATTGACATGAACTCGGCATCAAATTCTTAGTCCTTGAATGCCTTTATCTTTAATTTGTTACACATTTTTCTTAACACAGAATCTATTAAATAGAAGAGGCTGTTAAAATATAGTTTCAAATTTTCTTCCCCAGGGTGATGCTGGTCTCACAGGACGTAAAATTATTGTGGACACATATGGTGGCTGGGGTGCTCATGGTGGTGGTGCTTTCTCTGGCAAAGACTTCTCAAAAGTTGATAGATCTGCAGCATATGCCAGCCGCTGGGTAGCCAAATCTCTTGTAAAAGCAGGACTTTGCAAACGTGTTCTTGTCCAGGTAAGATATTCATGATCAATTTTTATATTCAACTTTTTTACAATTGAAGTTGTAACCATTGATTAATTTGTTACTTTTAAATTTATTCACTTTTAATTATAGACTTTTTAAATTGTCTCACAGGTCTCATATGCCATCGGTATTGCTGAGCCATTGTCAATCACTGTATTTAGCTATGGTACCTCAGCAAAGTCAGAAAGAGAATTGCTGGAGATTGTTAAGAAGAACTTTGATCTGAGGCCAGGTGTCATTGTAAAGTAAGTTTGGTCCTTAAAAAAAATACATTATCTTTTTCTAATTGTAATTTTAGCTTATGATGCTATTGGAGGAGACATTAACATAATTTTTAAAACATTTTTAACAAACTTATTTAAACAAATATTTTGTTTGTTTTCCAGGGAACTAAACTTGCGCCAGCCTATCTATCAAAACACCGCATGTTATGGACACTTTGGTAGGAATGAATTCTCATGGGAACACCCTAAAGAGCTTAAATTTTAACATCTTTTAGGATTTCTTAGATGATGTTACATAATATTAATGCCTCATGTTGTGGGTTTGATTTTTCTTAACGTGACTTAGACTGCTAAAAATGGACTTGAAACATTATTTTATTGTATTTTTAATTTTAGGGTATAATTTTAGCAGGTAATTTTTTTAAGCTTTGTATTCTTGAATTATTTATATTTCTATCATTGATTAAATACACATAACAGTATCAATGTAGCAACTGAAAGTTGCAAGATTTATTGAATGAAGAAAGTGACATTATATGCATCCATTTCAAAACAATTCACAATTGGATTTTATATTTTATGACACCTTAATTTGTTTTACCTGCTACTAAACCATCATTTGTTCTGTGTTAAAAAAAATTGTTTTAGTACTATTACATTTAGCACACCAAGAAAATTAGATGCACATTGATGCATTTTTCTAAGATTTACCAGGAGACAAATGAAAAAGACCATTCCTTTTTCTTTTTTTGCAATCACAAGTTACCTGTCCATAATTTCATTTCTAAATGCATAATTGTTACTGTCCATCACTTGTTTGGTTATCACTTTGTATCGAGCATTTGAATTATGTAGACCAGACTTGGGATATCGGGGCTTTTTGGCCCTGTAGGCCACAGTAATTAGAAGGATAGGCTGACGTGGACGACATACCTTTAAAAAAAAACAAAATACCATAAATTTGTGTTGTTTAGGGTTACAGCACATTTTTTCAATATCTGCGGTATATGCTGTCAATATCACTGTTGATGGCATTGATTTTTTTATATTTTTTTTATATCCTGGTACTGTTGTCTGCCTTGGCTTTGTTGCTGCCCTCTAGTTATTGCAAATGTGCATATTATTTTTTTATTTCCCTCTTGACCCTAGTACATTTGTCTTGTGTTTATGAAAATTCATGGAAAAGAGCACTATTTATAAACACTCGGGCCTACATCGCAATGACTCAACTACATTTTTTAAAGTGGTTTTTTAAATATTTTTTTCCCCAGATGTTACTTATACTTTTGTGTGCATTGTTCTCAAATTTTAATGAATATTCATGCCTATTTTTTAATGTAGTTAACATGATTATTTTTACACTGAGTATGAATCTGCATTGGGTATATACAAAGTGATGGTTATTGCTCCACTGAGGATTTGGAGGCACTGGGTGCACATATTTGGTGATGATTAGCAATGCAGCACAAAGGTACTGTTTACATTTCAATTCCATTGTAAGAATCATCAGTTACATTCTAATTTGTGTATTTTTAACATGGTATATATTCACTTTAACTAGCCAGTTTGGATGAGAGGATGTGGTTGACAGTAAGAGAATAAATGATGTATGAACATGCCAGGTTTTTCAAATAAAATATAAGATATTAATATGTAGAAGACCTTTATTGTTGTTTTACATTTTGTTTTCATTTGTAGTCAAAAGTAGCCAGAATGCATGTATGTTTAAAGGCTTAAAGTTAAATAAAAGTCTACATTAATTAGACATAATTATGTTTAAACTTTTTAAAAAAAAACCCACCAATTTATTTGAGAAAAAAAAAATTCTAAATTGAAAGGAGCTTTATTTGCTGAAAATAAATATATTTTAGAATGCACCTTAGCTTGCCTATATGTCTGGATTCGAAAGTAACAGTCAAGAAGTAGGTTATATAAAAGAAGTTAAATACTGAAATCTCAAACCTTTTTGATTCAAAATTATTCTATTAACCTGTTCTGAGAAAACACTAAAAAGCTTCCTATACATATGCAATGGCTGTACATCAGAACATTACCTGAATTCAAACTTTCAATTTGTATTAGGTGGGTCACAGATGAGCATGTGCAAAAATCTAACATTCATAAAGTCAGAGATTTTTCTTGAGTCCAATACCGAAATCATCAGGAATAAAGCAATTTCCTTCAGTTCTCTAACATAACTGCGTTTTATTTAGAAAAGCATATTTCAACCTATATAAGTATTAGAGTTTGACTTACACTTACTGTTAGTTTTGACAGCCATTTTTTCTACTTTTAGCACATCTAAACAAATAACAGGCTTTCACTTTTATTAAAGTTAAAGCTAATTTTAGTACTGATACTACTACTACTATCAGTACTACTAGATATAACTGGCATAAAAAAATGTTAAACTTGAAAAAAGCTCCATCCATGCTAATTATCCACTGTATTAAGACTTTTCTGATAATAAATTGGGCTTGAAGTTGCAGTGATTGCTGAGGTAATAACACTAAATTTAAATGATTGTGGAATTTTCATAATGTATTAGCTACCGGTATTAATTTATGTTAAACCCTACTTAAAAGGTACAGGTAATGTGCGTTTGTTCTTAATTAGCATGTTACATGCTACCCATATATAATATAAGGTGGTTTCCTTCCTTAAGTTCAGAGAATAAGAAAAAAAAAAATATTTTTAAAAATAGACTTTCTATAATTAAATATTCTTAAAATGCATTACAAAGTACACAAAAAGACTGCAGAGAATAGATTATCAATCATGTAGCCTAAAGATTCAAATTAAATGTAGACCAGCTTGACTTGAATGTTTTATATTTATTAATTTTTGTAAATATTTGCTGCAGAGACTATCTTTGCATAATGCATTTTAAGAATAGTTTATGCTTATTTTTTTTTAGTGCCAATAAAAAAGAACACTCCATCCACAAGATGGAAATAAACCTATAAAGAAAGTCTTAAAAAATATAGGGTTATCTTAAATTCAGCTGCTATTACCTTTCTTGATCCCTAGTTTATAATTTAAACTGCCTGAGATTCTTTATCTTCAGTTTAGTGGTGCTGTTTTGTCAGAAGATCATACCTATTTTAAAAAATTTTAGAGATGAAATTTGGATCATTACCACTTTCACCAAACTCAGGGCGATTTTTGCTGTAGCTGTGTCTGATCAAAAACAGGAAATTACCTTTGCACCAATGCTTCATATTCTCTTTGCAGTCAAAAGACTGGTCTTTTTAGTTTTAGGTCTGTATTAATTAAATAATGTGATTCTCAATATAATTTTTATTCCACCATAATTCTGTTAAAAAATAATTTACAATTCAAAATTCAGTCAACTAAAGAACACACTTTGTGAGACCAATAATGACTGCTTAGTCCAGCGGTCCTCAACCTGTGAGTCGCAACCCCTTTAAGGTGGAAAGAACCTTTCCGAGGGGTCGCCTAAGACCATCGGAAAACAAATGTACCCTACAGTTATGAAGTACCGGTAGCAACAAAAAAAAAATTTTGTGGTTGGGGGTCGCCACAACATGATGAACTGTATTCAGGGGTGGCGGCATTAGGAAGGTTGAGAACCACCGGCTTAGTCCTTTCCATCAGTTTAGAATTCTGACTTTAGCAGACATCACACAGTTTGTTTTCATGTGCTCTACATAAAAAATAAGACAATATAGTTTAAAACTAATTGTAGCAGACCTGATTCATCTAAACACAAAAATTAAACAAGAAACAAACTGGACTTCATTACTCTTATTTTTTTTTTATGATGCAAGTGCAGGAATTGTTAATGATACAGGTAAAAACTGTCCCAATGCATGGCCCACTAAAACAAAATTTACAACAAAAAAATGTGTTAAAATTAGCTCATAGAAACTAATACAAATTAACAGTACTGAAAATACCATTTAAAAAATTAATCACTGATGTAAAGTAGGTTTAAAGGCGTACATAACATAGACGGTAAATCTAAAAATTTTAATGAAAGAAAAAAGGGATTATAACATTGAAATGGAATTTATATTATGAAATGTTCATCCAATAAATATACCGGTACAGAAAGATGCAACCAGCATCTTATAGATTAAAGGAATCTGTAACTGTAAGTTGAGTTGCAACAACAAGGGTGAAAAAACTGTCTTCTAAAATTCATTAGGGTAAGGGTTGGCAACCTTTTTTGAGAGAAGATACACTTTTATAAATCATATCTATTAAGGAAATATTTTGGAACCTGCATATCATAAAGTTTATTGTAAAAGGTAGTTTAAAAAAAGAGTTGCATCTAGAACTGTATGCCAACTGGAGCTGCTGGTGTCCACCACTGATTTTGGGGAAACCATGTATGTCAATGTTCAGTCTTCTCCTCATTTTATCACACAGATTTTCAGTTATCACACCTAAGGTATGTAGGCTATAGTAAAAGAGACTTATTATATTACACCTAAGTGTTATGATTATGCAAATATCTCTCTATTGAATCTGACCACTCCTCAAAGGGTATGTCACTTTTGAATAGGTCCTAATGATAACCCAGTATCTTGTTTTTTTTGTAACTTAACCCAGTATCTTGTTTCTTTTTGTTTTGAACAAATGATCCTAATCCTATAAATTAAATAATTCTTCCAACTCAATTTAGCTTAAACATTTCTTTTGCATTAGCTGTAATGATTACACTTGACATAAGAGTTACTATTAAAATTTCTATTCTTTATATCAAAATTTACTTGGAATAAAATTGAAAGACACGTCATGAATATGTTGTCTAAAATAATATTATTTGAAGAGGTTGCAATAAAAAAAGTTGAGCTTGCAGGACAACTGAATTTGTTTTTTGGGATTGGAGGGGAGGGACACACGCCCAGGTGGTACCAGTACCTAAAATCCTACAAGTGGTCTTCATTGCAATCTCCCTTAGTTGTTTATATAAGTAAGCTTGAAAGCCCAAGCCCATTTGCATGGTAAATCATTATAGTTGATCGCAGGAAGAAAAACCGTTATTCCTGTAGGTGATCGTGGCTTCCAATAAAAAGCTGGCCCTTTGTATCCCACAAGTGTAACCTGTGTGTTAACTGTAGCTGCTGGTGCTCCTAGCTCCAACTGGTAGGAATCAGGCCAAGATAGGGCAATGGCGTAGACAACAGCTGGGTTGGATTTCTTATTCTGAGTGTACCTGAAGATTGTAAGGATTGACTTCTTATTTTTGTAACGTAGTTAAAAACAATCTGGAAGCTATTTAAAGAGAAATTAAAATTTGCATTAAAACTTCTAAAATTAAGCATCTTATAATTAATCTCTACTTTCTGAATAAGTTATGAGATAGTAGACCTTGTTAGAACCAGTTCACTTTCTTCCAAATGTGTCCATGACGGTCTTACTTTATTTTCTTGCAATAAGATTTCTGATAACACATCAAGAAACTGTAAACCTTGGGAGGCTTACCATATTTTACTGGTTACTGTATCATTCTGATATGTCCATGGTCTGGTTCCATAAATAGCTTCCCCATTAACCTTCAACCAAGAGCCCATTTGTTGGAGGCGTTCCTGATAGATAGGAGTTATCTCTCCATAGCTTGTAGGTCCTACATTCATCAGCATATTTCCATTGCAACTGAAACATTTAAAATGTAATTGCTGTAAGCCTAAACATTTAACTTATTTAAATTTTACAGTTGGAGTTTCATGGGTTCAAAGAAAGGAGTGAAACATTTTTTAGATCACTGAAAGAAACCATTTTCCTTCAATTCAAATATTTAAATATCAGAGGATATGGGGCTCCCCAATCTTGAATAATAATTAAAAAATTCAATTTTGACAATTTTTTACTATATGTTTAAAGAGAATAACAGCAATGATTAGAGCCTATTTCAAATTTTGATAGACTAGTTGGAACTCAAGACTCTTACATCAGACAGTTTTCAGCTAATGACACTTAAAAATTATAAATTCAAAACTGAGTCTGTTTCTGTTATTACCAAGGCCATGCGGATACAAAGGCAACTGAGTAAATCACTCAGGGCCTTGCCTCCTTGGGTGTCCCCCAAGGGTGGAAATTCCATATGTTTGATACAATTATTTTGAATTTTGTGAGGGCCTTAAATCTGGATTTCCTCAGAGCCCAAAAATCCGCTGCACGACCCTGGTTAGTAGTGTTAGAGGTTCCCACCAATCCATTGAGGGATCTATGGTCTAATCTAATACTTTTAATTTAAGCAAGTAATAGATATAAAAAAACTGGCATCAATAAATAATTTCATGATTATTCTTAATAAGAAATATACCTGACAGTAGATATAAGTTGTTCCAACAGTTCTTCAATGGACAAAATATCTTGAAAGTTTGCATTTCTCCTGTAGCCCCATGATTGCCTGTCAATGGTCATAGCATTCTCCCACTTATGCTTTATCAAGTGACCTATTTAAAATGTACATAATTAACTGCTACATGTCGATAATTGCAATACTCAAATATAAGAGATGGCACTAAAGGTCAAGCCACTAAAAATAAAATGAGAAACATTTGTTTGTAAAATGCACATTTAAATTTATGAAATATTGAAGTACCAAGTTAACTTACCTGGATTATACCTGTCAGAGCAGGTATAAAAGCCACCATGTTGACACATAACTGACTGACCCCATCTGTCATTAGTCACAACTGTGTCTTTGACCGGACTAATTTGAAAATAATATTAGAAATAGTATGAATTTAAAATGGCACCATAAAAAAAAAACAACTAAAAATCCATATAAGAAATTATCAATTTTTTCAGATGAAGATAGACTTGAACATTTTTAAAGAGCTAAGTAATCAGTGATTGAAAAGCTAATAATTGAAGAATATAAAATTTGTCAAAAAAATATTTGAAAAAAAAGAGTATTGTTATTTAATAAAATGTAATCAAGAGTCTCTTACACTTGTCTAGGTTTTAAAAACTTGAGGAAAAAAAAAGAAGCTAAATTTAGTTTTTTGTGCTTTTATGCCACATAAGAAATAATGTTTCATTAAGCATCTACTGGTTTATACAAATTAAACTTTATCAGATGCCAATACTAGTACCTGCTATTATATAGCCAAGCTAAAAAATCTGGTGACTTCCAATATTGAAAAGGTGCCTCCCAGTCTCCATCGGACCATATAATATCTGGTTTATATGTGTTTATTAGTTCGTAAAGCTCTGGTAAAGTTTTGCCCTGAAGTTAGAATAATTTTAAAATTTTGAATTCAAAGATATATTAAACTAGGCAACTATCTGTCGAAACGTTAATTCTTACTAGACATTACCTTTAAAATGATGGTTTTCTTTTTATTTCCAAATGATGAACTGTAAAAATTTTTTAAGCGTAGGTCTTCAAGTAAGATATTTTACACAACAATATGAAAAAATATTAAAATAATGAGTTCACATACTTATTGAAAATTTAAAGGCATAAGCTTTTTTACCGTTAATGTTGAAAATTGCTTGTAATACAAAATACACATAACCTTTTCAATAGATTACAAAATCACAGGGTAACAAGAAAAGAGCAGGAAATATTTAAGGTTTTCTTCAAATAACTCATGAGATTCATGCTTATCTTTAAATTAATACCTTCTACAATTATTTTTTTAAAAGAAACATTAAAAAACAAAACAAGGGAGTTAAGTTCCACAAGTTCAGAGAAGGGGTAAGTAAATTAGCAGGTCCAGGCAATCAACCAATAACATTTAAAAACAATTTTTAAAAATAATTGTGGTTCTGTTTTTATAATAATATAATGTTAGTGTAGTCTGGTGTTTTTGGTAGGTATATTAGGCGAAATTCCTGAAAAGCCGGGCAGAGGGAGAAGTGATGTTTTGCAGTCTCGTTTGGATGTTTGCACAGGGGACACGTAGGTGTTTTATCTGGTTTTATGCGGTTAAGGTGGGAATTAAGTTGTGTGTCCTGTGTACACGCAAAAGATAATGACATATTCTAGTCTTTGGAGGCATTTAATTGGATCTTTCGAGTCTGGGCTGGGTATGTGTGTGAAAAGCTGATTTGTTGACATACATTTTCAGGGTGTTGTTTTGAGGGATGTTATGACATATTTCATCGCTTCTTGCTTAAACCCAGTCTGCTTATTTGAAATTTCAGCAAGTCGTCAGAATGTGTCTGAGATTGCAGCTTCTGCTTGTTCAGCACCTCAAAGGTGTATATCTGTGGTAAGTCTGAATATAGGAGGGTAAGTTCAGGTCTTCTGAGTGTGTTATGAGCTCTGTGGAGAGGAGTGGATGTCAACAGTTTGTTCTATATAGTGAATAGGTTTGTAGAGTTACAGAGTTCTTCTATGGCATTTTCAGTGTAATTTTGGTTTCCCCATTGAGGGGAATGCCTGTTAAAATCACTGGCAATCACGGTCTTGGATTATTGTATCCTCTCTAGCTGAGCAAAGTTGCAGTTATCTGTTGGTGGGTTGTATATGTTAAAAAATGTATTATTTTTAATGTGGTACCAAATAGAAGCTTTTTGGATATCTTGTAATCTGTGGGGATTACCTCAACCTCGCCTTGGATGTAATTTCTTATGTATGTAATGATGCCCAGGCACTTGCAAGTGTAATGAGCATGCCATGTGATGCTTGGGTCTGTGTTGTGGTGTAAAGTTTCTTGTAGTAGTACTATATGATCTTGTTTCATGTGCAGGAGGTGGTCTCTCTCTTTTTATTGTTTTATATACTGCAGACATTGAGTTGCAGGATATTTAAATCTGTGTTTGTATTAGTCTCAGCAGCGTATTTTTCAAAACTGGCCCAAGGTGCTGCGAAGCAAAGCAAGCCTAGACAGACTAGGTGACGCAGAGCTTGGATGTGATTTTTCTCTTTTTGTCTTCATTACCATGGTTATTACTGGTTTCTTTGGCTTTCCTTCCCGGCCAGATCCAGGAGCTGCATGCCCCATGTCTTCACATGCCCCATGTCTCCACATGTCGACCAGGCACCGGGAGACCTTGTTTGCCAGACTGAAGTCTTCAGCGATTGGGTCATCCCTGAGTTAAGTCATCCAGACAGGATTCACAATTTGCCCATTCCCCGCCACCTACTGTCTCCTGGCACTGCATTTTTCATTATTTTTTAGGCCCTTTTAGTACTAGATCAAGGATTGTCACATCCTGGGTTAGTTGTGTCTGTGCGAAGACTTTCATGATCCTTGGACAGACAGATGTTGCAGCCACAGTATTGTGGTATGTTCCATAATATGACCGGTCAATGGTTTTACATCCATGAAGATGCAACTTCTGGGTCAACCATATGGGAAGCATTGAAAGAAGGATGATAAAGACTAGGAGAGTGGGGGCTGGGTTTGTGTAACATGAAATGTTTAAATTTGGCTCTTACAGGAAGGTCCACTCTCCTCCCAAGGCTCCAGTTATACTGCTGAACATTTGGTTGCACCTGATGGGTCTCTTTTAAAAAGAGGTAGGGCCAGCACAACAAGTGCAGAAGTACTTTTGTGAAGGCCCCCATTCAGCCACATTTAGGTAGGAGAGGCCATATTTCAGAGTTATCCAGAAATGCTATAGATTTCAGGGGTATCCAGAAATGCTATAGATGGTATACATCTGGGCAGTCACTACCTCTAAACAGGAGAGGTATTGTCTTGCCGATCACTGATTTTTTTCCTTTCTCTCCAACAAATCCGTTTACAATAGTGTAACTTACTTTTGGGGGAATAAAAGGGGGTAGGAGTGTTCAGTAATTAATATTATAAGACCCAAGATCCAGCCTCCTCACCCATGTGTGATTTAAGTGGCTTAACTGTTTCGCAAATATTTATCTATTTAAGGAAACATTCGATTGCACTTACATTAACAAAATCTTGTGTTGTAAAGTTGTTCTTTTTATCTTGTAGGTAGAGAGGGTGAAACCATTCAAAAAGGGAATGGTACAAACCAAAGTGTAAATTAGTGTGGTTCTTGATAGCATCAGCCAATTCACCTAGAATTGTGAAAGTGTATTTTAAATTCCTGTATTTTTAACCTTTATGAATCTGCTAACAGTATTTAAAAGAAAATATAACAAATATTTGAGATTATCACTGGTTTCTATTGATTCCAGTATTAAAATTATTTGTTGAAAACTCTGAGCTTAGGTTCACACTTGCCACGTTTTAAATTAATTAAATCAATTAATAAAACTAAAGCTTGAATTTTTTTTTAAACTATGAGTTTAATTATTCATTTTCAAATAATATTATAAAATCAAAGTGTTCCCTCCTTCAATTTCGTGCTAAATAAAAAAAAAGTGTTAACAATTGATGTAAAAAAAAAATAATTATCTAAATTTTAACTTGTTCATCAACCTGAATCACTATGAACTGCAGGGACAGGATTATTTTTATTAGAAATAGGGTGAGGCCAAATATATAAAATGGTGCATACCACTTTTTAAAAATATTTTTTTAAAAGCAGGGTTGTTTTGCGTAGGTCACTTTAGAATTAGAAAGTAGGTACCACGGAATTACAATCTGATGCAAACCAAATCTAACTTACCAACTATATCTCTATTAGGTCCCAAATCTTGTGAGTTCCAAGTCCATGAATATTTTGAAGGCCAGTTTGTGAAGCCCTCATGATGCTTGCTGACAAATACTATGTATCTATCAAGGGATATGAGAAAACACAACTTTTAAAAGCGCTTTAAAAAATTAAAAAATTTAATTTATAAAAAAAGGTTGTATATCTGTCCGATTGTACTGGGGAAGCACTGTGGGATGTATATTTGGAGATCTGTCATGCTGTTAATGATACATCAGTTTTTTTTCTTCAGCACTTTGTTTCCGCTGCCATATATTAATCATATTTTATTAATCATAACAGATGAATTATGATTTATAAGCACACAAAATCTCTGATGTACAGTACAAAGAAACTCACTTTGCTCCAGCATTTTGGAAGAGTTGAGCCCACTCAAGTGCATTAAAAAATTCTGCAGTGAACTGTTTGGCAAAGTCTGCATATGTAAAGCCAGGAGGGTAGTTTTTTGTCATAAATTCTACTGTATCCTGATCTTTGTCACCTTGCCAGTCCCACCAAAACCATTCAGAGCGGAAACTTGGTACTGCAAATTTGTTTAAAGGAAAATGTATAATCATAAAAAATACTGGATATTTATTTTAAGCCAGTAAAAATGTATATTTTAAAGAAACAATGGATATACCAGTGTCTCTACTTATAAAGCAACCTATCTGGATCTAAATTTTCATTTTAAAATAAAAAGTTTATATAGCATGCTGGGGGTCAGAATCTTTTCAGATTAGATAATATTTTAATACTGTATAGTAAAGTATAAGTATATACATGTTCTAAAGCCCATTAATTTTGATTTAAAGTTAAAAATAGTGTAAAATAAAGACTATATGATGACTAGTATGATAAAGACTATAAAGCCGATGCCTATAAAGTAAAGACAAGAAAAAATATTTGTAAAAAAAAGAGACGGCAAGAGTTGGCAGTTGGTTTACCTGAAAACACTCCCCAGTGAATAAAAATGCCCAGCTTTGCATCGTCGTACCACTCTGGAAGAGGACGTTTGTCAAGAGAATCCCATGTTGGTGCATATTGCCCTGATATGGGCAAAACTAGAAAAAGAAAAACTAAGCTAATAGAAAGTATTATTATTGAGCGAGTCGCCATTTCGGAATGTCACATGATTTTGTTTTACAGCCGGGCTTGGCAAGTTTATATAAATTTAAAAAATAAAAGTATAATTTTAACACCAATAAGAAAATGCAGAGTCCTCTCTATTTTAATATACGTTTTAATATATATATAAATAATAGATATATATTTATATTTTATTAGCAATTAATATTAAAAATCAATGAGTGTAAAAAAAAAGAAGAAGAAAAAGCATTGCTTAGCCTTGATTAAGCAATCGAATTCTAAGTGGCAATATACCTTTTTTATTTTTTTTAAAGATCACGTGATAAAGCGTTTCTTTATAAAAATAGATTCGTTCAAAACTATGACAACATGAGAAGATAATTGCATAAATTTTAAAGCTGGTTTATGTAATCTCGTTTTTAAACACAAACATTTATTAATTTGTAAAGAGGAATTTAAAAATTAACCATCATGCTCTCATTTAATGAGAAAGATATTTTGCGCACCGCGCATGGCATAGGAAAGGGCTGAAAGGCGTTGGTAAAAGTGAAGAGATAGCACCGCGTTTTTTTTTTTACCATGACCATGGCATTTATAATACTGTCCGCGATGCACAAAAAATCTAGTGGCATTAATCAATATATGACCTGAACACAAAAACTAAAAACTGATAGGACACTGATGAGGAAAGCAATTATTTAATGAACAAAGGTGACGTAGTATGCAATTTTCCAAAAATACTGTGTAGCTGTACGCCATATTGTAGAACACGTTTTTTCGACATTTTTGCACACGGCAAACTCTTATGAATGAAACTTGAGGTAGTCGGTAGTACTACGGCATAGCATTGTGCAAATGGCTGTGGTTTCCCATGACTTTTTGCAACGGTCAGTTCTGATAGCTAATAATATGGACTCTACCGGGTTTTTAAAGCTCAAATTTAAAAATGTTTTCAAAATGCATTCTGAAACACAAGTTATAAATATTTTGATGTAAATAGAGATAATAATGAATATTTCCTAAGCTAAGTATCGGCTTTCCGCCATTTAAAAGGGGGCGGGATTACTAAATCCAAAATGGCCTGACCGACCTTATTTTAAATTATCATCTAAATGGTTTATCATAATAGCTTCAGTACTAGTTTATAATTTTTTTTTGTCTTTCAGTTTCAATACAAGCTAAGAAGCAGTCAGAAAGATGATGCTGACCTGATTGTTGGATCTCAGGCAAAGACCATGCTGCAAAACAAAGAAAAGTACAGCCCCAGAGACAAGGGGGTTGTGGAGTTTTTTGCTTCTGTTGGAAAATATTTTGAGATGGTGCTTGACTATCTTCTAAAAAAGACTTCCCTATCAGATCCTGCACTTCAGAATGCTTCTGTATTTGATCCAAAAAGGAGGTTAAACAACACCAGCTAGAATACTTCCTTACCAGATTCCTCATTCTGATCCCCAGAGGGACTGATGTTGACACCATCTATGAAGAGTTTGATAGGCATCAGCAGAGGAACATTGAGGATGGGGTAAGAGTCGACAGGATTTGGCAAACAATTTGCCAAAAGCACCCAGCCCTTAAGAATCTTGCCCATGTAGTGAAAGGGATCCTCACCATACCTCACTCCAGTGCTGCGTGCAAGAGAATATTCTCTATGTTCCTGAAAACATGCACAGACCAAGGAACAAAATAATAGCCCAAAAACAACAGAGGAGAGAAAATCAGGAAGCTGCTTGGACTTGGATGAAACTTTCAGTGCAAAAGAACTCCAGCAGCTTAAAAGTTCAGCAAGCGTCATCAATACACAAGGTATTTAAATATTTATAAAATGTATACTCAGTTAAAGAATGTGCCCCTTTTATTGCTACAAGTGTACTACTTTGTTCAGTATTGTTCTATTCTGAGACAATATTGTACTATTTTGAGATTGAATAATACTATTTTTTGAGTTCCTGGGGAAACAAGTCTGGTGCATGAGTATAATATAAGCTTTAATTAAATGATAATATAATTCGTTACTTTTTTTCGGGGGGTGGGGGGTTGTGGGGCGGTCGACAAAGATTTTACAAGGCTAAAGCATCTAGACCTAGATGAGCCACACAGTGGGATCTGACTATGATAAAAACATGTTTGTGGCTCTTTAGGGTTAACAACACATGGTCAAGGGCTTACCAATAAGCATTACATTAAATTTACAATTTATTTACAACTGTAGGATGTTATAAACTATAATTACCATAAGGCAGATATTTTAAAAAATAATACAATTTTGTTAACATTCACAATTTTTAGTTTTATAGTTAATGAAAATTCACAATATTTATTTTTAATCTCAAAGGTATTAAAATAAATAGCCAGTGTAAAAATGTATTAGTGTGTTTGTATGACAAAGTCAGAATTAATTTGTCATACAGATTAGAGAACACATTCTTCAATGAGTGACACTCAAAGTGAAGGAGTTTACCATCAGGGTCCCATGTGGATAGCTCTGGTCAGGACCATAAAATTTACCCATGATGTTTTACCATTGCAGCTACATTTCAACACTATAAGATAAGATAAGGTAAGATAAGATTCTTTTCTTTATCCAAATAATGTGTTTTGATTACATTGTATCTATTCATTTTTAGCACATATCCAGCAAATATTTTTTCTAAGACAAAATTTTTAAACCAGGGCAATTTAAACACATCTGATGTGTGTCTCAAGTGCAATAATCAGGCATCATATACCACAAAACTTCACTCCCTTAGTGACAATATTAACTTTAATTAAGAGCAATTGTTTGATTTTGTTAAAGCCAGAGGAGCACTCTGTTAAATTCTAACAGACTGTTGAACAAATAAGTGCATAACTTTCAGTGTTAACTTTGAGGGAAAGAATTCACCCTGACTGAGCTCATCTTAAGTATCTGTCGTGTCATGTTTAAAACAGAATGTTTACTTAATGAACTTGAATAATAAGTTTATACTAGAGGTGTGATTAAAATATTAAATATAGATTGGAAGTATAGTTAGAATATTAAATTTAGACAAGAAATATGATTAAAATATTAAGTTTAGAATAGAAGTGTAAATTATGTTTAAAATTGTATTCCTCCAGATGAGTCTCCTCTCAAATTTGGTTGGTTGAATGTATTAATGAAAGCCATGGAGATGACCAAACTGGACTT